TAATATCTTTAAAAAAAAAAATTTTATTGTACCTACACAGTAAAATTTATGATATAATTGTACGAACAATTTTTAAGTTCTCAAAAATGTTTTTAAATTTTAACTAAACAATTAACATATCGTCTAAATTAGAACTTCAAATATCTATAAAACATTTTAGATTTTATAGTTTTAATATTTATGGAAAATGTTGTATACAATTTTTAAAACTTGGATATAAAAAGAAAATTTTTAATATATTTCTAATTAAAAAATAGTAATTAATAAATTTTGTCAAAATTCTACTTTAAATACATATAAAAAATAATTGTGCTTATGTATTTTTAATATTTTTATACAAATATAAGAACAAATTATTTGGGATATTGTATAAAATATTCAAGAATTTTGACCCAGCAATTAATTGTTTATAATTAATTATAGAAAAAAAATTGAAAATTTCCCATGGCTCAAAAAGAATTAAACATTTTGAAAACGTTATTATTCAATAAGAAAATGATAATATAAACATTTGGTCAAAAATTTCAAGTATTTATGGATAATATTCGTTCTTACGTTATGCTAAACAAAATCGATGTTGTCAAAAATTGGGTTTACAAAAAAAATTTCTATTTTTCCTTAATTTTTTTCCCACTTCTAAAGAAAAATGCATAGCACTTTTTATTGCAACAGCTCCAAAGTACAAACTACATCCGATTTTTTGTCAGAAACTAGCTACATTTTTCGAAAATCAAAGCAATTTATCGACTACTTATCGTGTACAAGTACACACACACACACACACACACACACACACACACACACACACACACACACACACACACACACACACACAAGGACACAAAATTGTAAAATCGCTTAGAATCTAATATAATATAGGTAATAAAGTGTCCTAAGCAAATATAAATATATTTAGTCTAAAAGGACAGATTTTGGTTCGTTTTTCGTCAGCGTACAATTTCAATTTTCAATAATTTATTATTGAACTGAAATTTAATACAATCATTACAATTCCACAGTAGCCTGCTATTTTGTACGTAATTGCACTGACTAGTGACTACTAAGGAAGTCAACTGAAGAATGAGTTTCAGAAATGAATTGTACCGAAATAATCAAATAGATGAAAAATTTGGATAATTATAAATAGCCATTATATAAAGGTGATACCTATATTATTATAACATAAAGTATATATAGGTAATATTATTTTAACTTTGGATAACTACCTACCTATATTTTTACATTTTATATTGTTATTTAATAATAATAGTTATAACACATTATTATAAATACTCGTTAGGTATGTTTTAAATAATGTATTTGAAATACCAATGAAACAGTAAATACCTATTTAAATACAACTACTTAACATAAGATATTTGCTTACATAGATAATATTTAAAATAACTGTTACCTACTGTATTAGATTTAAGAAACTTTGGTACCTATATATAACATACGACAAAAATCATTGTTAATAATTGGGTAATATTTATTAATAAATTATTTTATGAAACATAAGAAACGAATTTATCAAACCACTCAGAATCTAAAATTAAATAATTCGTTTATAGTTGGTACCTAATGAAGTCTTGGGATAAACAATACGTTCAGATCCAATCGTTAAAGAAATTAAAATTTAGATTTACTCGAACACGTCGAATGTTTTATTATTCGGAATGGTTTAATCAATATGTGTGTCGATACTTATGTATCATATATTATGTTTATTATAAAAAATAAAAATAAAATACATTTTGTACAAACGAGGTTGATGATTGTTTGATGAGAAAAAACGTTTTGCTTTCATCACTCCCGAAGTACCAATTATAATTAACCAAAAGCCACAGCTGCACACGACCAATAAAAATCGAGAAAAATGTATGTAAGTAGACTTACTTGGCCAAGTTTCCAATTATTTTAAATATACATTGTATTTTTGAATGTAAACCATTCAACTTTAATGTAAAAAATAGATTATACCTATTATGTGCATTATTCGCAGTCATGGGCGCCCGCAGGAAATTTATCAGGGAGGGGCATAATGAAATCAAACATCAAAAAGTACATTAAAAAAAGTTAATTCCTAGCAAACTACAAAATGTTTTAGAATTATATGATATCAAACGCTAGAAAGCATTTAAAAAAATATATATTTCTTGCAAACTACAAAATGTGTCAGAATTATATTATGGTGTTTAGTCGTTATTAAATAACTTTCAATTACACACAATCCCGACGAATCTGTATTGACTGTATTATTTATTTCAATAGTTGAAGTAAGAGTCAGTAAAGATTTCATTAAGAGAATCAAAAAGCTTGGATTAAAAATAAAAAAATTCTAATGTCCATAATCACAATAAAGTATAACAATAAAATTAAATATTAACTATATTATAAATAACACAATACGTACGTAGTTTAGCGTGGTCCGTGTTTCACCGTTGACGGCGCGTTGACGAATAATTTAATTTCACAATATTATTACAATAGTTTCCAACATAATAAAATAAATAACAATATTGTACATTCGGTTTATTTTTAGACGTCGTGTGCGTAATGTGTATCGGTCATCTTATCTACGTGTTATTTTGTATTAATTAATGTATTGTTATTACAACGAACAAGCATTTAATTAAATAATTTTATCTTTCATTTTTACCAATCATTTTTATTTTGGCTACCTCCACATACTAAGTAAAAATATCAATGAAATGTTTATTTAAATCAAAATAAAAGCTATAATAATGTTCAACGTTATATTTGAATTCCAGGGGGTGGCAAATGCTCCGTTTGCCCGTCCCCCCTCCGAGCGCCCATAATTATAGTGTATACGTATATAACATTATATTATAGGTATTTCGCTGCATTTGCTTTAAATATTTTGTGTTTTTCGGAGATAGACGATTTAATGATGATATAATTTTTTTGTTTAAATCATGAAATAATTAAAGCATTATCACTTATTGTAAATTTCTTACAATAAAGTTATTATTATTTTTAAATATTGGAAATCGGTACTGCGGTAAATACACAATATAGATGTTTTCTCAATTCTGGATGCGCAAGTTTAGGTATAAAAATAATTAAACAAATTTTAAATACATAAATAACTTCAAGTATGATTGTATATTGATTTGTTTTTATTTCATTAAAAAAAAAAAAAAAAAAATGCACACATTTATAGACCATATAAAACGAATAAACAACTAACTAATAAATAAAATAATAGAACACAAATTACACAATTATTATACCTAATTATAATAGTATTGTCTACAATAAATATTGGTGAATACCTATAATAAAATACATAACATATTGTACATCTATAATTATAAGATTCCTACGTAGCAAGTCACCGACAGAATAAACTAGAATAATATTATACACTATATTGTACAGCATCGAAGAAATATAAATACTAAGCCTATCTAATATTTAAAATCAACATACATGTTTAATAGTATTCACTTATTGTTTATGTAACGCACGAGTGATTTATATGTTTATAATATACTCGTATTATATTGTGCTTATTTTCAAATTTACAACATCTATAACGGCAGCACATTTGTTTATAACACGATTATCTAACGTTATTATTATCTACTATGAATTTATATAATTAAAAAATTAATAATAATACTGACTTTGGGCGAGGTTAGTTACGTTTTACCTATACAAGTTATCATTTATTTTTAAATATTTATAATTATATTATACTATTCTAGTTTATAAATATATTATCAACATGAGTAATTGTATTTTTGTGTTTTTAAACATGTATAAGATATTAAGATCCAATGATTGTGATTATTAATAAATCGCTTTTAACACAAGTGATGAATAAATTAATGTGTGTAAATTATGCATATTTTTTTTTACAAAACGAATGCAGTAACTAATATAGTTGAACAATTGGTGAATAATATTTCTCTTGCTATCATATTTTATATTATGGAAAATAAAAAATAATCACCGTCACTACATGCAAAGAGTCGTAAGTATACAGGTATCTAATGCATAAATTGGCTGTAATTTTTTTCATGTTTATTAAAATAATCACGACAAAGCTAGGTATAATCAGGTAGATATTGGTGGTTTTCTGCCTTTGCTAAATCATAACGAAATAATTTTCTATATAATATGTTTTCTCATGAATAATCTATATTATAGAAATGTGTAATACATTTCAATGAACATTGATATTCATTTAATGTAAAGTTAAATTGTAAATTCATGAAACAATATTTGTTCAGTTATCGTTTTTAGTTAATAGCTCAATATAGAATAAGAAATATAAGAAATTACATTTAAAGTTGTTGGTACGCAACTAAATTCAACTAAACCCGTCTAATTTTGTTAGATCTGATGAACAGTAGGTATTGATTCAGGAGACTAGAAATCTAGTCTAAGACATTATTTTTAAAAGGAAATACTAACTTTTTATTAGTAACCGTATAAAATGGTAACTTTTAGAGATAGTATTTATGAACACGTTGGAAATTAAAAAAAAAAAAACGCGCGCAGATCAATTTATAAACGTAATTTAATACACGTGGATTTAGTCGTGTAACAAAATACGTACTTACCTACAGATATTATGAGAATTGGCGTGTTTTTTATGTACGTATTTGGTGGTGAATAGTTTAATATTTTTTTCAATCACTTAATAATAATTTTCAAACGGTCTAAACTCATATTCCAATACCTTCAGTTGAAATCTTCGATTATTTTTTATTTCATTCCAAGGTAAGTCGACAGATAGATACACAAATTGCTGTTGAACAGCAAAAACATTAAATCATAATTAACAAATTTAGGTACAATACAATAAAAGTATACAACTTGAATGAGAGGAGATAAACGCGAAAAAATGTGCATTGACCCCGTGGCCCGTACTAACACACAACATTATAATTATTTATAATGGTAATAATCTAAATTTTTCAAATTTCAGTACCTACCTATCTATATACTATACCTACATAATTTAATCACTTTATAAAAAACTACAAATCGTACATATTCTACAATATAATTTAGGATGATTTATAGTATAATAATAACAGTTGATAGCGTTCAGTACCTATAAGCACCCATAAACGTAATTTATGGCTAGACATGTATCTATGAATACACAAAAAAGATCCGTTTGCCGGCTAGGTATATAAAGTGTAGAAGTGAATGTGTGTGTATGATGAATATACCACTACTTCGTATGGAAAATAAGTCGCTCTGCAGAGTTCGACGAGAATGAGAAGTCTTATAATTTATTTATAAATAATTTGTATGTATATATATATATACATACAAAGGTTTATTATATACAAAAGTTAAATTTTGTTCAATATGCAAGATTGTTCCTGATGTAAGCTTTCTTCCTACTTTCGTGTCTGTGGCACTTGCCCCACCACGTCTTTTTCGTGCACACCCGCACACGTTTCAGCACGAAACACTTGGTCTGCACCACGTTGAAGAACAGCTTGCCAATCAGGTTTGCAGATCCGGTACCGATCGTTTTCAAACACGACCGAAATCTAAAATACAATCGTTATTAGTGACAGGCTAGTATAGAGATCAATCATAATAAATAACAATTATTGAGTAGATATAGCGACGCTTCTATTTTTTCACACAGAACGTGTGAAACAAAAATATTAGACAACGACTAGTGTGTCACATCATCTACCGTGTACATTATATTATTATACAGGCAGGTACGACGCGATTTGGCGATAGAAAAATATTGTCCACAAAATGTGCGTATTGGATTTGCGCGGAAAGAAATAATAACCAAAGCGATTATATTGCGTGCGAAAAGGTCGCTCGATCGGCGCATATCAAAAGTGTTGAATAGGTATTTAAAATGCATTAAAAGCTCTACTGCAGAGAAATTCGAGGCGAATGCAAAATTTCCACCTATGATGCGTATCTGTTGTACATGGATACAGTACTACCGCGATCACTCCTTATTAAAGTCACCGAGTTTTGATAGGACTTCTGTTATAATGTTATATAATATTAATGATGTATAGCGCTGTACATCATATTGGTAGGTTTATCGTTTATTGTTCATGACGATACGTATGTAGAGCGGAAAACAGAAGAACGCGACGTGCTGCGAGTCTACGAAAGAAGCAATAATTGTCTACTAGAGCTTCCTCCGCGGCCAAAGGGTACTATTTCAATATCGCGGCGATGAGTAAAATCATATTATTATTATATAATAATATAGTAAACAATAATTAAGTGTAATATGATTTAAAGTGGGCCACAACTCGCAGAGATGTGCTAGCTGGTATCTGAGTTATGTACGCAGGCAATTAAACCGCACCTGTTGTCATTTGTTCGCACTAAAATATATTGATGTTATCGTGATGGTTTTATATGATACAGATGGTAAGTATTATTACAAAAATTAAAAATAATGTATTTGAATGTTTTTTTTTTTTTTTTTTGTTGGAAGTTTGAACAAGAAGTCAATAGGTATAAGATTTAGTCTAAATATCAATTCTATAGATCGTTCTCAAGAAATAAGAAGGTATTATATAGGAGTTGTTGCGATTTCGTTTGAGTGTTTTGTACTCTTGCTATAATATAATATATACTATATCGTAACAATATTTATAACTACATACGGTCTACCGAACAATCACTTATTAGTCATCAACATGATTGCATACATGTGGAATTAAAAATTCGAATTTTTTTGCCGAATTGAAAGTCAAGTCAGGGTCAACAAATTTTTATTAATTTTTTTACTGTATATTATACGTTCCGGACGTGTTGTCTACATTATACGCATGATTATAATATGCAATCAAAAAACTCGGCGTTCCGGTACTCTACTCGAAGGGCGCAGGTGTAATCGGGCGGGCGGTACAGCTATTATTCCGAGGCGCGATTCATCCCAATTACCCTTCTCGATAGCAAACACACACTTATACGCGAACTTCGACATTTTTTTTAAAATTTTTTTTTTAATTACACGATTACCTGCAAAAAATAAATAAATAAATAAAAAAAACACGTCACACACTATAATACATATGACTTTGACATATCATTAGGTGTACCTATACACAACCGCGACCACTTTCCGGGTTTCTGCAGTTCGTATTTATTGTACGCGTACACACGTCTGAGCAATCGAACCGTTTCGAGGTTTTCTCGTACGTCGTGCGTACTCGACCGACGTAAAATTATCATGACGAGTTCAAGGATTGATAGAGAACGGTTTTCGCTATACCGAACTATATAACGCTTCCGGTAAAATTTTACACGCGTCTCGATATCGCGGCAATAGGTACCTACCTATATACTTATGTACACGCGAGTGGCAATGACGTCTGCGTTAGCTACGACTTTATTACGCAAGTACAATATGTTGTGTTGTTCTTACACTCGATCAGTTAGATTTGTACGATATACAGTAGAAGCCGCTTATTAGAAACACGGATAATTGATACAATCGTGTTATTGAAACAAAATGTCTCGGGACGGATCGGCCGTATATTAGAACATTGAAAATAAATCGGATTATTGAAACATCACATCGGTTATTTGAAACAATTGGGAGAAGGTCAGTTGACATATACACCGATTATCTAGTGATAACCAATGTACTTCAATTTTATCTTTGCTGTCGTTACGTTTATTTTTACTGTAATTTATCGCGAGAATGCTCTTTCTGTACGTACTGGTCGTACCGTTTGTAGTTTAGCTTCAGCGTGCGTATGTAAAGATTATTAGTGTTTCCTTTTTCTAAAAATCTAAAAATGTCTAAACGCTAAGATTTTAGCCAATTTTCATGCGACCATTCGTGGTTTGAAACTCATTTGACCGATTTGCTAGCCCAATACACACGCTCTGATATTTTCAATGAGGACGAGACTGGGCTTTATTTTGGAGCTCTACCTGAACACACATACGCACTCAAAATAAGTGACAAAGCTAAAGGGGCAATATTACTCGTATGAAAATATGGTCATGGAGTTACTCGACGTAAAAAAACAAATTACGAATGATAAATATTTTACATAATATCGTAAAATATACACAATTGTGCATACTTTTTTAAATTATACAATATAGGTACATACATACATACATACATATTTTTTTCGCGTACCTATTATTCATTTTTTTTTTTCAATCGCTTATTAGAAACAATCGGTTAATTGACACAATTCACCTTGGTCCCAAAGTGTTTCTAATAAGCGGCTTTTACTGTATATATATTATATATATTGGCATTTGTCGTGTCACGAAGTGATGAAATCGCCATTTAGTGGTCGGACACATTCGAACGCCGCCATCGTATGTAGGTACATAATATAATTATTATTAGTTATACATAAATACGTATATGCGCAGGTGGAATACAAGATCCGGACGGGCGAATACCGCAATGTGAGATAATGTTATTAAATGATAATATATACCTACGTATCGTTCGTAATCATTACGCGTTATTGGTGCGAAAATAATACCATTGAAAAATACGGTACAGGTAATATTACAATTTACGATATCTACGATCGTATACGTACGTACGTATTATATATGCGCGTGCAGTCGTGTATGTCGTGTACAGTCGTATCGATTTGATTTTTTTGTACGGTTCGTGTTCGATTTAAACCTTAGACAATAAAATAATATATATTATTAAATATTATATTGTGGTGCTTGAAAATTTAACGAAATATATAACCGTGAGATGTATATATCGATATTTTAATAATTGTTTTTTGTTTTTTATTATTATAGGTATTAAGCTTTATTTTTATGTACACTTGTTGTTATAGTCGTTATAGTTAATATTATAAAAGTATTTATAATGTTTTATATTGACATTATACGTAAAAAAAATGTTTAAACGATACAATGCACCTACCTATCGTACATAATTAATATACAGAATACTTTCTCTACAAATTTACCAAAATTGAAAACACTCAATGCATCAACATCATCAATATCTGTGTTATAAGAAATTGTTTTAAGAATTTATGAAATATTTCATCATACAGATAGTGAAATATCTCAAACTCAATTTACACAGATATATACTGAGATTTGAACGCAGGCAGAATATTATTGGTTTTAAGTTATTCACACGCAATTTTATTATACCATAATATGCTGTTTATTAGGTATGTCAAATTTTACAACATCGTATCAAGCTGCTATTATGATCATACTACCGAATTCAACGCAAGGTTTAACGGTCTAACAGATTATATTACAAATGTGTTAGAAGATTCCCGAATATTCTATTATATATATATACTGTACCATTCTTAGGTCCGAATCGGCGAGGTTTTAAAACAAGTTTAGAAGATTTAATTGATTTTTTTTATCTGACCGCTGGCAGACGTCGTCGCGAGCTTAGTTTTTTCTACCGCTATAATATAATTGATCGGTGAAGATTATTTTCGTTGAACCGACAGCTATTTGCAGTTTTAGCAACAACAATCGAATTCTATGATTAAATTGCTTATTAGCGAGGGATTTCTTTAAATCTTAAAAGTTCAATAAAACACAAAAACTTTATTCGAAATTTGGGATAATTGAATTTGCGATTCACATCATAATGCTGCTATCAGTGTAACTAGGATAAACAATAATTGCAGCAGTTGGTAGCCAATTTGTTTGGCATCCATTCCGTAACAGCACGGAACGAAATATTCGAATTTCATTTAATTCTGAAGTGAACACGTTAAATTATTAATTATTATAATTATTATACAATAGGTTTAAATATCAGCATGTTATCATGGTTTTTTAAATGTTGTTGTAACATTTTGAGAGTTGACTTAAATAAAATATAACCTTGACGTGTACACACGAATATTTATAATAAATGATAAAGATATTTTGATTGAACGAAATGGTTTAAATAAAAAAAAAAAAAAAAAAAAAAAAATGATAATGCATTTAAGAAAATCTTTTTTCATTTAGCCATATATTATAGCTTTGTAGCCTATAATTAATTATTGTTTATCCAAATATAACAGGAAATGGGCGTAGTCTTAAATTTTAACGAAGAGACTTCATTAAGAGTACATAACTAATAGTACCTATGTATGTACATTAAACTATATGTATGTATAGAAATTAAATTTTATCGAACAAGAGGATATGCATGTATAGGAGAAAAATTAAATGATTAAATAAATAGGAACATGTATGTTCCTAACTTGTAAAACAAATTTGACCAATTTAAAAAAACCAATCAAAAATTAGGGCACCTATTCGATTTTTTTTTTATTTAAAAATTATCTATTCAATATTTCTTCAGTTTGATAGAAATAACTGTAGGTCAGGTCCGTCATTTGCATTCTTTTCTTAATCTATAAATTTAGATTTAATAATACTCATCTATGCAATTTTTGAACAATTTTTTCATCGTGAAAAAAATCCCGTAGACTAGATGTCATTATCAATCATGGTTTTGTATATTCATGTATTATATTATAAATAATTTGACTAGTTCAATTTTTTCCTTCTTTTTTTTTTTTGAAACCATCATCTA